GTTCATAAAAGTCACTTCTTTTAAATTTCAAGTTGTCCGAAGAAAGATCAAGGTCTCATAATGCGTAAATAATCAAAAAATTAATAAAAACATGAATCACTAAATTCAGAAAACTGTTAATTTGCAGATACTTTTTACATAAATTAGTTTTCTGTGTACTTTTTGATTTTAATATATTTTCTTTTTACATTAGTGCTACTTTTAATCTAATATTTATGTCTGATTATTACAGTCTAAACATTTTAAACTCCCTTTATTTAAAGAATTTTGCTGCAGTCAAACATTAAAAATCTTAATTTTTGTCTGGATTCTGATGCCATGGCTTTATTTTCGCACATTTTTGTACACATTATATGAAATTACTCTCAAAATGTGAACAAAAGCATTTTTATTTATTAATAGACTCACCTCAATAACATTTTAGACATATTTAAAGACCAAAAAACATATTTTGAATACATTTCATTGGATTTAAACCTCATGTTTAAAAGAAAAGCAAGAAATGCTAGAGATGTAGACGTTTAGTGTGTGTAGTGGCTGGAGACTGATGTGAAGACTCAAAAAATATCTCCAGACATAAACACAGGAGGAGTCAGACATGGAGACGGGCTTTCAGAGTCAAATGTTCTCTCCGAACCATTATAAACTTTACAGAGTCCAGTAATGACTCTAACCTGATTAAAGCCTTTCCATAAAGAGTCATAAACAGCAGTGCAGCCGTCAGGTGTGTTTACGGCACACATGTATGTGTGATTGTCTGCTGGAAAACACTCTTCCTGTGTGACCAGGACAGATTTTCCCAGAGGTCCTGGCGGCGGGCATCTGTTTGGCATGTGTGTGTAGTCATGCCTGTTTTTCTCATTTTAGAAAGAGACTGTTTAATTTCACCCTTTCCCCTTCTTTTTCTTTGTGTTTTTTTTTTTACTGCAGTCTTAAAGGGAGAGTTCACTCTAAAAATCAATTCATTCATTAATTTTCCTTTGGCTTAGTCCCTTTATTAATCAGGGGTTGCCACAGTGGAATGGACCACCAACATATGCAGTGTATTTTTTATGCAGCGGATGCCCTTTCAGCTGCAACCCAGTACTGGGAAACATCTATACACTCTTATTCATATACATTCACTACGGCCAATTTAGTGTATCTAATTCACCTGTAGCGCATGTGTTTGGATTGTGGGGGAAACCGGAGCACCCGGATGAAACCCACGCCAGCACAGAGAACATGCAAACTGAAATGCCAACTGACCAAGCCGGGGCTTGAACCAGCAACCTTCTTGCTGTGAGGCGACAGTGCTAATCACTGTGCCACCCCAATTCTGTCATTATATGAAGAAAGGTTTACAGAATTAAAGCGATAGTTCACCCAAAACTGACAATTCCGTTTATAATGTTTACACAAAAGCCAAACAGCACACAGCATTTTTCAAAATATCTTCTTTTGTGAAGAAAGAAACTCAAGCCAAGTCTTGCCTGAGTAAATGTTTTAAACTGAATTGTCATTTTTGGGTGAACTATCGCTTTAATTCTGTAAACTTTTCCTGATATAATAACATAAATGATGACAGAATTGGGGTGGCACAGTGCTTTATTTTGGGTGAACTAGCCCTTTCAGAGTTTTATTTATTTATTTATTTATTTTTATTTTTTAAGATTTATTAAGTATGGGTTTTAGTAAAAATTTAATATTTATTTTATTCTGTAAAGGTCTGAAAATTATTATTATTATTGTTATTATTTTTTTTTACAAATTTTAAAAATTGTCATTTCGAGCATTTTAGTCAGAATAACAAATGCTTTAATTTGATTTCACTGAAAAGTAGGAAAGGATTCTGGACAAAAGACCCTGAGGTTCAGTTGTTAGGACTGTCACCTCACAGCAAGAAGGTTGCTGGTTCGAGCCCCAGTTGGGTCAGTTGGCATTTCTGTGTGGAGTTTGCATGTTCTCTCCTTGTTGGTGTGGGTCTCCAGGTGCTCCAGTTTCCCCCCACAGTCCAAAGTCATGCGCTATAGGTGAATTGAATAAACTAAATTGGCCATAGTGTATGAGTGTGAATGAGTGTGTACGGATGTTTCCCAGTACTGGGTTGCAGCTGGAAGGGCATCTGCTGTAAAACATAAACTGGATAAGTTGGCGGTTCATTCCGCTGTGGCGACCCCTGCTGAATAAAGTGACTAAGTCAAAGGAAAATGAATGAATGAATTTATTCCTTTTAAAGCAAAGCTGAATTTTCATATCATTAGTCTACAGCGTCGCATGATCCTTGAAAAATCATTGCAAAATGCTGACATGACGATCAAGAAATATTATTAATATAATTATCAATGGTGATTCAGATGTCACAATTTTTCCAGAATTCATTGATAAGTATATTATACTTATTTCAAAGATAAATATTTATTAAATGTGTCATATTTGATCGATTTAACGCATCCTTTCAAAATAAAAGTATTTATTTATTTATTTATTTATTTATTTTTATCTTCTTGACCCTATACTTTATTCACAAGAATATAGTACAGAAGTATTAATTTTTATTATCTTTTTCTAAAGCTTTTAGTTGCATTTATAGAGCTGGGCACCTCATAAGAAACCTCACAAGAAATCTCTTAAAGGGACAGTTCACCAAAAGCATGAACATTACCTCATTATATATTCTCCCTCATGTGGCTTTTAAACCTTTATGAGTTTCTTTCTTCTGTTGAACACAAAAGAAGGTTGTTTTGAAGAATGTTGGCACACGTTGACTTCCATAGTGGGCAAAAAAGTTACAATGGAAGTCAATGGTCAATCTGCATTTTTCAATATAACTTCTTTTGTGTTAAAAGACACTCAAATGGGTTTTGAACAAGTGAAGGGTGAGTAAATGATGATAGAAATGTCATTTTTCGGGAACTATTAAAGCATCTTGATTCTGTGTAAACAATGATAGATAACTCTTCTTTTTTTGTTTTCAGTGCGCTGGCCCTTTAAGAATGCTGCTGGTATTTTTCGCTCTGTGTTTGTTCTGGTGATTCTGGCTGTGTTTGTTCTCTTTCTCTGCTGGATGAATTAGAGTAATAAAATGTCTCTCAGGGAACAGCTGTTCTCCTCATTACTCTCTCCATCTTTCTCTCTCTCTCGCTTTTCTTACTCCCTCAAAGGAGATCCAGAACTCTTATCAACACACAGACTGCGACTGTTACAGAGTTTCCCAAAGATGTGCCAAGAGATCCAGCGTTTTCCATTCTGCTCTTATCCTGTCAAACACTTTATCTTTGTTACCTGACAGCATCAGACGTGATGTAATGCTCTGTCAGAAAATACCCTCAAACACTTCTCATTTCCAAGGATTTTTTTTGTTAAAAAAAGTTATTTTTTAAACTATATTTAAGTTTTGTTTTTGTTTTTTTAATATTAGTTTTATTTTTAATATTTTTGTGAGTGTTTTTTAGTATGGTATTACATCATTTAAATGCCAATAATTTATATGGTTTTTTAATTTTAATGAAATTTTTTTACATCATTTTTTTTCAAACGTGATATTTATGGTTAGTTTTATTTAGCTTCTTTTTTTTTGCAAGCGTGTTATACATTAAAATTATTATTTTTTTTAATGGGGAATAAAACTTAGCCAGTACTTATTATGTAAAAAATAAAAATAAATAAATAAAAATAAATAAATTAATAAAAAAAAGTAATATTAATAATAAAAAAAAACTTTTTAGGGCTTGTTAATACAGTCGCTTTGGCTCATTTCTCAGTACACAACATTTCTCATGTAGTCAATATAACTGTGCACTCCGGGGGGCTGTTCTAAAGTTTTTCTCAATTGCTTTGGCACATTTTTTTTTTTTGTCTTAACATTCTCTAAACTGTGAGTGCGAATCTCACATCTGTTTGCTGGAACTTCAGAATTTTAATGCATGTCTGCAAAATGTAGTAGTTCACACAAAACATTTCATTCTTGCTTCAAAAACCTACTTATTTTGTCAGTAATTTGGCCAAGGCCACCAAAAAATAAAGTGTATTTGTCATCGTGTGAGCCTCGCTGCTCAAAATGATGAGTTGTTTTTTCACCATAACAGTCTACTATGGAAATTAAGGTTTAAAACAAATCTGATATTTGTAGAGAAGAGTCGATAGTAGATCGAAAAATATATGTGAACACTCGTATTTATACAGTACATTTATTTGTGTACAGGTGTATTGCATGCAAAATGCAATCTTGCTTGTCCAATTATTGTATTGTATGTTTCATATTTCTTATGTTACCACAAATGTAAATGTGTGTGTATATACACAGTTGAAGTCAGAATTATTAGTCCCCCTTTTGATTTTTATCTTTTTTTAAATATTTCCCAAACAATGTTTAACAGAGCGAGGAAATTTTCACAGTACGTCTGATAATATTTTTTTCTCTGGAGAAAGTCTTGTTTGTTTTATTTCGGCTAGAATAAAAGCAGTTTTTAATTTTTTAAAAACCATTTTAGGGTCACAATAATTAGCCCCTTTAAACAATATATTTTTTCAATAGTCTACAGAACAAACCATACTGTAGTTATACAATATTTTGCTTAATTACCCTAACCTGCCTAGTTAACGAATTGTCTGTCGTGTATGAGTATGAATGAGTGTGTGTGGATGTTTCCCAGAGATGGGTTGTGGCTGGAAGGGCATCCACTGCGTAAAACATATGCTGGATAAGTTGGTGGTTCATTCCGCTGTGGTGACCCCAGATTAATAAAGGGATTAAGCTGTAAAGAAAATGAATGAATGAATTTTCTAAAGGTCAAAAACCACCTCGAATGAGTGTAAAAAAACACAGTTGCATATTAAGAGTGTTTTATGTATTATTAACCATTTTGAATTTGGCATTTCTGTAAATGTCTGTTATGGTTTGTAAACATCTTCCATGTTGCTCTTATCTGTGTTTTTTTTTGTTACCTGACTGCACATAAACCCACCCACCCCACTAAAACACTTGTAATTTACCGTAATAACCCCCTCTCTCTCTGTAGCATCCATGTTTCCGGAGGACTTCTCCATTTTGGCGACGGTGAGGCCAAAGAAAGGCAGTCAGTCGTTCCTGCTGTCGGTGTATAATGAGCAGGGCATCCAGCAGCTGGGTTTGGAAGTGGGACGTTCTCCTGTATTCCTGTATGAGGATCACTTAGGCAAACCCGGCCCAGAGGACTACCCGCTCTTCAGAGGAATCAACCTGGCAGACGGAAAGTAAGACATACACACACACACAAAACCAACACAAGCTATGTGGTTGCGTAATGTCTGGGTAGGATTGAGTGTGTTTGGTTTTGATTATTAGCTTTGATGTGTGACATATTTACTGTGCCACTGGTGTGAGGAAAACACCTGCACAGGTGAGCAGACTCAGCTGTTACACCCTATGAGACTATAAACACCGCTGAACACTGAAGTAGCACATATGCAGATGTTATGAAAACACTTTGTATGGATAGATATATTGACAGACAGATATATAGACACAGACAGAGAGATGGATGAATAGATAAATAGAGATAGATGCATAGGGATGGATAGATATACAGATAAGTAGATGTATGGATGAATAGATAGATGGATGAACACAGAAAGACAGACATAGATATGGTTGCATGAACGAATGGATGAAAAGATAGACAGACAGACAGACAACTGGATGGTGGATGGACAGACGGATGGATGGTTATATGGATATGTAGATATATGGATGGATAGATGGATAGATAGATATACAGATATATAGATATATGGATGAATAGATAGATGGACGGATGGATGAATGAACAGACAGACAAATGTATGGATGTATGGATGGACGGATGGACGGATGAATGGATGGATGGATGGGTGGATGGGTGGATGGATGGATGAACAGACACACATACGGATAGATAGATAGATAGATAGATGGATAGATAGATAGATAGATAGATAGATAGATAGATAGATAGATAGATAGATAGATAGATAGATAGATAGATAGATAGATAGATAGATAGATAGATAGATAGATAGATAGATAGATAGATAGATAGATGAAAAGATAGATAGATAGATAGATAGATAGATAGATAGATAGATAGATAGATAGATAGATAGATAGATAGATAGATAGATAGATAGATAGATAGATAGATGAAAGGATAGATAGATAGATAGATAGATAGATAGATAGATAGATAGATAGATAGATAGATAGATAGATAGATAGATAGATAGATAGATAGATAGATAGATAGATAGATAGATAGATAGATAGATAGATGAAAGGATAGATAGATAGACGAAAGGATAGATAGATAGATAGATAGATAGATAGATAGATAGATAGATAGATAGATAGATAGATAGATAGATAGATAGATAGATAGATAGATAGATAGATAGATAGATAGATAGATAGATAGATAGATAGATAGATAGATAGATAGATAGATAGATAGATAGATAGATAGATAGATAGATAGATAGATAGATAGATAGATAGATAGATAGATAGATAGATAGATAGATAGATGAAAGGATAGATAGATAGATAGATAGATAGATAGATAGATAGATAGATAGATAGATAGATAGATAGATAGATAGATAGATAGATAGATAGATAGATAGATAGATAGATAGATAGATAGATAGATAGATAGATAGATAGATGAAAGGATAGATAGATAGATAGATAGATAGATAGATGAAAGGATAGATAGATAGATAGATAGATAGATAGATAGATAGATAGATAGATAGATAGATAGATAGATAGATAGATAGATAGATAGATAGATAGATAGATAGATAGATAGATAGATAGATAGATAGATGAAAGGATAGATAGATAGATAGATGAAAGGATAGATAGATAGATAGATAGATGAAAGGATAGATAGATAGATAGATAGATAGATAGATAGATAGATAGATAGATAGATAGATAGATAGATAGATAGATAGATAGATAGATAGATAGATAGATAGATAGATAGATAGATAGATAGATAGATGAAAGGATAGATAGATAGATAGATGAAAGGATAGATAGATAGATAGATGAAAGGATAGATAGATAGATAGATAGATAGATAGATAGATAGAGAACAGGTGGATGGTTATAGATATGAAGATATATGGATGGATAAACGGATGGATGGATGAATGGATAGATATACAGATACATAGATAAATGGATGAATGGATAAATGAATACAGACAGACAGATAGAGATGGATGGATGGACGCGTAAATGAACAGATAGATATAGATAGATAGATAGATAGATAGATAGATAGATAGATAGATAGATAGATAGATAGATAGATAGATAGATAGATAGATAGATAGATAGATAGATAGATAGATAGATAGATAGATAGATAGATAGATAGATAGATAGATAGAGAACAGGTGGATGGTTATAGATATGAAGATATATGGATGGATAAACGGATGGATGGATGAATGGATAGATATACAGATACATAGATAAATGGATGAATGGATAAATGAATACAGACAGACAGATAGAGATGGATGGATGGACGCGTAAATGAACAGATAGATAGATAGATAGATAGATAGATAGATAGATAGATAGATAGATAGATAGATAGATAGATAGATAGATAGATAGATAGATAGATAGATAGATAGATAGATAGATAGATAGAGAACAGAACTATAGATAGATAGATGGACAAACAGGTGGATGGAGAGATGAATGGATGAACAGACTGGTGGATGGATAGACTGATTTCTAACCCTCATTTGTGTGTGTGTGTTTCAGGTGGCACCGTGTAGCGATCAGCGTTCACAAACAGAGCATCACTCTGATTTTGGACTGTAAGAAAAAGGTGACGCGGACACTCTCCAGAAGCCCTCATCCCATCATCGACACCAAAGGCATTGTGGTCTTCGGAACGCGGATCCTGGATGAAGAGGTGTTTGAGGTAAGTAGGAACTCCAGGAGCTTTCTGAACCTGCACAAAATTCACCAGTAGAGGTTTCATGATGCCATTTAAAGGAACATTCTACGTTTTTTTAGAAAACACACTCATTTTACAACTTCCCCAGAGTTAAACGGTTGAGATTTACCATTTTTTAAAATCCATTTAAATGATCTCTGGGTCTGGTCGGAGAACTTTTAGCACTTTTAGATCATGCAATTGGATTAGACCATTAGCATCTCGCTCAAGAAAAAAAAAAAAGTTTTGATATTCTCATATGTAAAGCTTGATTCGTCTGTAGTTACATTGTGTACTAAAAAGTGGCTACTTTCTAGGCTGATATTGCTTGTAGGATAAAATATAAAAATATTACAGCGCATAAAAAATAGTCCCCAGCTATATAACTGGGCAACAGCCACTGTTTATTAGCATTGCACCTGCTGCAGCCATGCTCAAGCAGCAAAGCTCCCTAATTATTACACCAGCATGAGAGTAAAGATCCTAATCATATCGGCCTAGAACAGCTTTTCCTTTTGCATTGGTGTACACAATGTAACTACAGAAGAGTCAGGCTTTAAATATGAAAACTTATCAAAACTCCATTTTGAGTTTTTTTGAGTGAGATGCTAATGGTCTAATCTGATTCAATGATCTATGCTAAGCTAAGCTAAAGTGCTCTGAAAAGAGATCGGCTGAATAAATTAAACAATGGTCAAATTCAGCTGTTTAAATTGAGTGTGAGCCTATTTACACAAACAGAGGAGTGTAAAAAAGCATCAGTTACATCTTTATTGTGTAACTTTAAATGTATACAGTAGCATGTACAGTAGAATTGTAGAGCTATACTATTGAAATTAGTCACAACTTGAAAAGTACAACTCTGCATGTAAGAGATGAGAAATAATCAACACAGAGTTGATAGAGAAAATGAACAGGTCAGTGTGTGTTTGGCAGGTGTTTGTGTGTCTTTGGTCTTCACGGAGTGTTTAAAGTGTTTCAGCATCTCTCTGAGACTTTGACAGAGGAACGTGTGTGTGTGTTTGTTCAGCACCTAGTTGTGGTTGTGTAGTGCTAATGTTAGATTGTAGGGTTACCCTGTGGCACGAGGGTTTATAGACTTCTGGGTCAACTAAACAAGTGTGAGATAAGTATACAGTACACTTGAAGTGTGGTTGCGCATACATACGGTCAGGCTGCATTACTGTAAAAGACCGTAATACTACTTGTGCTGTGTCACATAGTAGCTGCTAAAACCAAATTTTAATACTTTATTTTCATCTAAAAAACACTCCAATTTTATCTGTGTGCTAAATCTGTGTGTATTTTGGGGAAATGCAAAGATTTTGTGAATATCTGTGACACAGAGAGGTGTATTGCATTTATTTTTTAAACATGGTTGAGGAAAAGGGGATTTCTCTATATCACAAGAAATATTATTATCGTAATACTCAACAACATAGCATATTATATATTTTCACAGTATTATGCAACCCTAAAACTTAATGCACTTGCTAATATATGATGCATTTTTATGCAATCTGAGCACACTAGGTGAAGTATTGTTTCCCACAATGCAGCCTGTTTGACTTTGGGTACATATTGACAAAATTGAGGACAAAAAAGCAAAATAATAGAAATATTTAATAATTATTACTTACATTTATATAGAGCTTTTTTTCAAAAACCTTTTTCAAAGCACTTTACACATTTTTTGGGGGGAATCTCCACATACCATCAGTCTGCAGCATCCACCTGGATGACACGACAGCAGCCATATTGTGCCAGACAGAGTTGACAGAGTGATGAAGCTAATTATGATATGGGGGTGTTTGGACATGATGGACAGAGGCCAGTGGGCAAATTTGGCCAGGATGCCGGGGTTAAACCCTTACTTTTTTTCCAAGGACATCCTGGAGTTTTTACCGTCCACAGAGAGTCAAGGATATGAACAGTGTCCTGAGTCGTGGCTGGGTGCTACATAGAAACCTACGTTTAGAATTCTGAAATGCATAGCGCTGCATGGTGCACAGTGGCGTAGCGCAAAATGCAGAGGCCCCCCTGCAGGGATCGCCGACGGGGCCCCCTGATGAAGGGGGGGGGATACGTCATACGTCAATTTGCATATCACTGGCGTCATCACGTTCTACCGTTTCTGTTTAACAGCCTATGGTTAATAAAGGGGCATTTATAATTGCACTACACTTTATATAAGCATGTTTATTTAACTAAATTTATTGCTGTTTGAATACAGTATATCATTATAGATGTGTAGTGAATGTGCAGTAATCTCTCATATGTAATAAACTCAGACAAGTTCAGAAACTGTCACTAATATCTGAGATTGTGAACAAGAAAAGAATAAACGGTCCAATTAAATTGTTAAAATAAAGTAGAAGTACATCGGTTTGACTGTACAAGGGAAATACCTTCACACTGCCTGTGCTAAATCATTTGTCGTCGGTACGTAGAGGGGTGATCTGCTCTCGGGCTGCAGGTGCGAGAGGCTGCTGTACGAGGACTGACTGGGCTGCCTGTCAGTGCTGTGAGGCGGGGGAGGGGCCGGCAGCATCACACGCAGCTCATTGAGAAGAGTAGGGACGGTACAGTATGGACAAATGACAGTCTAAAAAAAATCTCCAATAACACAAAAAAAGTCGCTAGATTTGTCGCTAAGGGGGTCTGAAAAGTCGCTAAATCTAGTGACAAAGTCGCTAAGTTGGCAACATTGGCGGCAAGCAATCAGAATTAAGTAGTCCACCGCTTGAGAGGTGTTCAGAGAACACAGACGTGTGAACTTTGGTTCCGACCACAGTTGTTCCCAAGAGTTTGATTATTGCGTTCGCCGGTGGATTTTTAATTATTGAAAATCACGACGACGCGGGGCCCCCTAATTACGCGGGGCCCCCCCGCGATGCGTGCCCTGCGGGCCCGTCCGCTACGCCACTGATGGTGCAATGCTGTGTGTCGCCAAGCGCCGCTTCCGATGTGCGATCTGCTTCAGCCTTGGTTTAGCATCTCATCAGAAAGAAGGATAGACAAATATAAATAATTCGATAGACGAAAATAACAGAAATAGTTTTTTTTTTAAACTTAATTTGGGTGAATTTTAGTCTATTTATGTGATAAAAATGTGATATTTAGGAACACTGTAAGGTAATATGTTAAAACTTAATTATAATGCAAACATTAAAGAAGTTTTCTATGTTTGTTTTTACCTTAAACTTTAATAATAATAACAATAATAATAATTTCTGATAATTTATCATATTTTTATTATTATTATTATTTTTATAGGGTGACGCAGTGGCGCAGTAGGTAGTGCTGTCGCCTTACAGCTAGAAGGTCGCTGGTTTGAGCCTCGGCTGGGTAGTTGGCGTTTCTATGTGGAGTTTGCATGTTCTCCCTGCATTCCTGTGGGTTTCCTCTGGGTGCCACGGTTTCCCCCACAGTCCAAAGTAGTACAGGTGAATTGGGTAGGCTAAATTGTCTGTTGTGTATGAGTGTGTTTGGATGTTTCCCAGAGATGGGTTGTGGCTGGAAAGGCATCCGCTGCGTGAAACATGTGCTGGATAAGTTGGCAGTTCATTCCACTGTGGCGACCCCCAGATTAATAAAGGGACTAAGCCGAAAAGAAGATGAATGAATCATTTTTATAGTATTATTATCTCCAGAATTGTGTTAGTTGCGTTTCGTTTTTACATTCTGGGGCGCAAGTCATTTATTATAGAAGAAAAAATGCCCACAGTGGCCTCTTCTACTACATTCTTCTTTATAATACTTGGTGGTGGTTTATTAGAAAGTGATGCTTTGGTTCTCTTTGACCCATTGGATGGAAACGTGGCTTTATTTGCAGATGTTTTATACCATATTCCAGTTTAATTGTCCATCTTTGGATGAAGACATAGCTAGTGTGTGTGTTTGTGTGTTGATAGCAAAACCTGCAGGAGTGTGGTATTGAAGCAGTGGATGTGAGTCATTCAGAAGGATGTGAGTGTTCATCTCCAGGGCTTTGACCGCAGACACACAGGGTTTATGGAATGCTGATGTCTTTAAGGTTTGGTCTACCTTTCTGTTTGATGTTGAAGTGTTTGGAGAAAATGGAAAGAGCCGTGTGTTTTTTTTCCACCGAGCGAGACACCGAGTCACCACAGAACCTTAACCAAAGCCCTGCCGTAAACGCACACACACACACACACACACACACACACACACACACACACACACACACACACACACACACACACACACACACACACACACACACACACACCAAAAACAGATTTCATTTCAGAGTCTGCGAGTGTAATTGAATTCCCATAAATGCTGACACATTTCACTGTGGACCTCTAAAATAAACACACAGAGTGAGAGTAAGAAACCAAAGACGATCATGGAGAAAATCATATAGAAAACCAACACTAGGAAAGTTTGTAAAGTGCATGAAGCAGATATACTGAGGCATATCGTTTACACTGTATATTTATTTAGGTTTAGATTTTTTTGTAAACAATTGTTTATTGAATATTCTTCATAAAATAACAATATTAAACTAGCTTCCTTTAAGTTTAAGTATCCATCCAACAATCCAACTCTATCTATCCATTTATCCATCCATCCATCCATCCATCTTCACAAATACCATCATCCATTCATCCATCCATATATCCAATACCATTATCCATATAATCACATTCCATTCATCCAAATACCATTAATCCATTCATCCATCCATCCATCCATACATCCATACATCAATCCATCAATCCATCGTATACCCAGATACCATCCATCTATCTATCCTGATAACATCCATCCATATACCCAAATACAATCAAACCATTCATATTCCCAAATACCATCCATCCAGTCATATGCCCAAATACCGTCCGTCCATATACACAAATACCACCCACCCATCAATCCATCCATCCATCCATCCATCCATCCATCCATCCATCCATCCATCCATCCATATTTCCAAACACCATCCATCCATATACCAA